TTATTTTATGTTTTTTATAATTTATTTTTGGTTAATTTAATAATAAATAAGAAAAATTAGAAAAATAATTTGAACTTTGCATTTTTTTAATGATTTTTAGGCTGACTAGGCAATGACATGGCGTGTTGACTAACGGTCAACGGAGTTGACCGTCCAAATTGACGGTCAAACTATGTGTCGGGCCAATTGAGTCTATATGCTGCATAGTTGAGGCCAGGATGTTAATTTCTGAAACCACGGGCCAAAGTTGATTATATGGTCATAGTTCAGGCCAAAATAAGGTATTAACCCCAAATTTAATTAATCAAATTCATCATGAAATCAATGAAACAAACAATGGTAATTTACAAGTCCATAATAAACCTAAAAGTTTTCCAGCCAAGTATAGCGTCACGTCTTTAACTGCAACTCTCCATTTGCCCTGTCAAAGCAAAAAAGAAAAAGAAAAACATAGCAGAAAACAGGGCTCTCAGCAAAGTAGAAGTGGCCGTCAAAGATAAGCTCGGGAATCTGTCGTCTTTCCACACAATGCAAAGGTGGCCACTTGAATCGAAGCTAATAGTCCGATCATTTTGCCCGATGAAGAAGATCAACTTACAGATATGATAGAGAACTCTTGCAGTGAAGGATTCCGGCATACCTTTGTAGTCAAGCCTTTGGAAGGTAGAAGCAATTTCCATCTGAGCCTATGGCCGCTGGCGTGCTTCGATCGTGCCAAACTCGTCCCCCTCGCTCGAATCAAGTTAAAGAGAGTGCTCAATGAAACTCCAGATTGGCTAATAGTAATATGAACGAAATGTGATTTACTCATATATGATTGCTGCTCAAACTCAGATGGGTTTTACGCCTATGCGCGACCATGAAAGTTCCAGCGACAGAGATGGATTGTGCTCTACTGTCTAGTGTCTACTGATCAATCACTGGCAACTGAACAAAAAACACATACATCTAATCATAGGCAGATTGAGATCCAAGCTCTGGTACGAAACATGGCGGCAAGAATAACCTCTATATTACATCATTTTTATTCCTGAAAACAAACACGCCACGCATCATTTCTAATCACAAAAGAAGCACCCAGAAACAACAAACTTGCCGAATCTATATCCATATCTATGAGAAAGCTTGAACACAAGAACAAATTTGCGAGTAGACGTATTTATCACCTGATATCACCTCCTCCAAAACTCCCTGCCTGCACTTTATCTTGTGTTTTGCTACAAATCGATGCCTCATTTCAGCTGTTATCTGAATCCCGTCCAAGATAAAAACCCACGTCTGCTGAAGCTGGTAGCAGTAGTTCGTTCCACTGGCAATGTGGGGGAGGGAAACGAGAAGAAAGAATTCAACCGTGAAATTTTACAGAACATCTTCACCACGCTGACTCTGCACATTATCAAACAAGAAATGCAATTGAATGAGCACAGATTGCAGTTAGCGGGTCCGATTCATCGGTCAATTTTGCAGCCAATCGATAGATATGGAGCTAGAGAACAAACCTGGGTCACAGCATCTTTGATAAACCGCCCGCCCCGAACTTCCACCGTCGCCTCATCTGCAGCCGCGGCAGCACAATCCTTGGGGAGCTCGAACAGCGAAACGGAAAACTTCTTCACGACGACCCCAACATCGAAGCAGATAATCCCCGAGTCCGAAACGTCGGCCTGAATCGACTTCACCTGAAACCAGAGGAATAGTTCCTTCGCCGAGATTCCGGAGAGGGATTCGATTTGGCCGTAGCTCAGCTTCCCGGTGACGTTGCAGTCGTAATGCAACTCGTTCTCGAACTTGGCATTGCAGGCTTGATCCAAGTGAACCTCGAAATCCCCAGACGACTCGTCGATTTTGAAATCTGTAACTCCTTTCGGCAGCAAGCCCATCGGAAGTCCTTTGGCCTTCAAGGCGTCGTAGATTGAAGCCAAACGATTCTCCCGATTCGAGTCCGCGCTAGGGATTGCGAGCGCCGTATACAGAAGAACATAGAGGAAGGAAGCCAGCGGCATGATCTTCAACTTCGGCCTGCTATCGCTTTGTCGTCGCATTCCGTGGAAAGGGAAGTATCAAACCTTGAGAGCTCTGTTGATAGAGGCGAGGTGAGCATCAGGGAAGGGAAGAGAGAAGCGCAGAGATAGGGAAGGCAAGCACAGCTGGAAGGAGGAGGAGGATTATTAGTTCGAGAGGGGAAATTTGCTGTCTGCGGTCCGATCTACGCAGTGATTCTCTTGGCCTCCAAATCCAATGGAGAAAGAGAACGTGGCGTGGGTTCTAGAGTGGAATATTTGTTTGTCAAACCGGTTTAACAGCGATCAAGCAAATTATTTGAGATTTAATAGTCCGATTAGTGTTCAATCTGTTTAGACATTTTATTTTATACTTTTTCTAAATATTATTACAAATAATGTAGAAATTTAAGAGGTTTAATGATCTAATTTCGATGACCAACCCAACATACCTTTCTCTTTCTCCTCCTACCCTCCCTCCGCCTTTTCCCCTAATTATCTCTAGTGGTCAAACGGTGGTTTTGTGGAGACCGTTTTGGAGCTGATTTGGGATAGATTACACACTTTTATACCCTTTGACTTGTGTCATTTGACTTGGTTTGCACAGTCTTTGGAGCTATTTTACGCTATATTTGGTATTATTTTGTGTGTTTCGGATCTTAGCAGGTAGAATTGACACCAAGATCGAAAGTCAGACAAAAGAGGGTGAAATGGGAGCAAAATGGGCAAAATTGCAAGGATCACGACCAGGAAGAGATTATCACGGGCATCAACTGCAAAGTGGACGCTCAAACCGTAAAGACTGCACTGCACACTTCCTGAAGACTTTCTGCAGTTCGCGGTCTGTGCGAAGATCACGGTCCCCATAACGTGATGTCAACACTCAAACCGTGAAGTCTGCAATCGTCTAGAGGCCTTTGAGTAGTTCGCGGGCATTGTAATATCACGGTCTCTCAACCGTGAAATCAGCAACTAAACCGTCAAGTATGATAATGACACGGCGCGTTTTGCGCTGACTTCACATTTTCATTACATACTTCATGGGCGTGAAGTGAGACCGTGATATGAGCACACACATGCTATATAAAGGAGAGTGAGCTGAAATTGAAGGGAGAGTTCTAGAGAGAGAGAGTTCAAGGGATCTTCTTCAAGCTTATTGAGAGAAAGTTATTGAGCAACGAAGGGAAGAAGGTAAAATTGACCTGCCCAACCCAATTAGTGGGCAGATTTCTCCTCCAATTATCCAGTCAAGCAACTAGAAAGAGGAAGAACCACTTTCCCAAGTGCTTTTCTTCCATCTTGGTTGTTATTTCTCTTTTAGCTATGGAGTAGTCCTCCTTTTCACTTTGATGATAGGAGCCCTAGTCTAGGATGTTGTAGGTAGTGATTTGTGAACTGTATTGTGATTTATATATTGATTGAGGCATTTTCATGCAAATTAGGTGTTATTTGATCAAATCCACCAATTTTGGGGCAATTGACCTAGGAGGGAGAAGATCCCCTTAGTGCAATTCAGGTTACTCAATCATTGCAGAGTGACATGAATCATTGTGATATATGAAGGCTACCTCGAATAGGGGGTCCTAGCTACTTTAGCCTAGATCGTGAAGTCCTTAAATGAAACAATACACTTTTGTTCGAGATCACGATCCGAGCTTCCAGATCACGACCGTGATCTGAGACTGTGAATTGTGCGCGATCTGGATATAAAAAAGGAGGATGACGCTAAAACTTAGAGAAGGGAGCTTGGTGAGAGATTTTGCCTTCTGTTTTCGATTGTAAAGAGAGAAACTGACGAACCAAGAGAGAAGAAGTGCTCTAGGGTTTGCTCCAAGCTTGAAGATTGGAGATTTTCACCTTCCAAGGGTGATTTCAACAACAAGGAAAGAAGTCACACACCACACCATTGTTCTTCCTCTTCTCTTTGTGTAATCCCTAGTTTAGCTATGGAGTAGTACTCTTTTTCACTTGGGTATTGTAAATCCTAGCTTTAGATACGTGATAGATTGTATGAATTGAATGCTATGTGTGTGGGTTTGTGTTTAATGCAAAGTTTCAGGTATTTTCATAATTATTGAATCGTGTTCTTCATTTCTCATTTCCATGCCAATTTGACCTAGAACCCCCTTGTTTGCTGGAGGCTTTGAGAAGCTAGGTTTCTTGACCATTTGAGTCACCCACCTAGGGCAATTTAGGGCAAGCCTCAAGTTTCGACTTAACACTTTGATTGGTTTGGTATTTTGCCGTCCGGATTAAGTTCCGAGGGACTAGCCTTAGCAACCCTTGGTTGAGAGGCCAAGAGAGCTAGTTCTCTAGCTTATTTGTAATTCCTTGGCCTATCGACCGAGAGAGTCAAGTTTCTTCACTAGTTGCGCTCTCCTCGCGATGAATGAGCACATTCCTACACATTGGCATTCTTTTCGCTCGATCTTGATATATAGATAGGGGTAACAATAACCGGGTGAAACTTTCTCATATAGATTCTAAAACCTTTTACCTACTTGCTTGTTTTAAATTGTAGACCTTAGTTTTCACTAAAAATCGATTACTAGAAAACATGTTAACTTTTAAACGATTGAAGTAGGGGTACATGGACTGACCCGAGTTGACATTTTAAAACACTTATCCTATACAACACCCTACTAGAGTTTATACTTGGGCTCTAGTCGGAATTTTTATTGCGGCAGTTGGAGTGAGTCGGTGACACATATAATGAGCAAAAAAGTCATTCAATGTTATCTAGTTTGTATTGTCAAAAAAAAATGTTATCTAGTTTGGTAGGGTTCAATTTCTTTTTTGTCTGTGTACAGCTATATGACTCCATGTATCTCTTTATTCTAGATAATACGAGTTTATCTTTCTGAAAAAAAAAATAAAGAATAAAGGTTTGAGCATCTTTAATGGCTAGTTTCTAAAATAAAATTGTATATGCAGCTTGGCGGTGGATGAAACTTTTGAATTATGAAATGGACGTCGGCACTAGGTCAAAAAGCGGAGAAAAGAGATTTAAAGCTCCCTCCAGACGGAGAGATGGAGCGGGGCAGCGGGACCCATCCCGCGGAAAATAACAGCCCACTGCGCAGTGGGAAGACGGAGTGGCAGCAGTGGTGTGTTTTGTAGCAGCGTCCAGGCCAGGCCAAGCTGTCTGCTGCAGGCAAAAACCCACGGCGGCCAACCTGCCCACCCACGTGCTCCGAATCATCACCTCCGCCGCCCGCTCTCCACGAGCTTCTGAGATTTACCACTCAGTGACTCAAATTCCCGAGACACCCACGAAAGCAAGGAGTCATTTTGATAGGTGAAATTAAAAAAAAGAATTAGATAGGCACAGACAGACGCCAAGAATCTTTGCAGCGATCAGAGTAGAGTAGAGTAGAATAATGCACACTCCGGCGCCGCCCAATCGCCGCTGCTGCTTCACGTCTTCTGTTTGTGGTCTCTTCCTCTGCCTATTACTGCTACCGCCCAGAATTTGTTTTGCCGGGGATCCGTATGTCTTCTATGATTGGACCGTCTCCTACCTCACCGCTTCCCCTCTCGGCCAAAAACAGCAGGTTCCCCACTTCCTTCCTTTCTTCGTCTTTCCCCCCGTCTTTTCGTGGGTTTTCTCTAATTTGAACTTGATCCCAGGTCTGGGTGAAGAAATTAAAAATGGGCAATCTCTTTTCATGTGTGCAACAGTTCTTAACCTATCTCGTCACTGTAATGCTCTATCATCAGTTGAGTAAACAAATAGTTAGCTGAGCTCTGGGTTTCTGGAATTCAGGTGATTGGCATCAATGGGCAATTCCCTGGGCCGATTCTGAACGTCACTACCAACTGGAACGTTGTTGTCAATGTCAAGAACCATCTGGACGAGCCATTGCTTCTTACTTGGTACAGTTTGCTTTTGTCAACCAGATTATTCAAAGTTCAAGAGCCAAAAAACAAAAACACAAAGCCATTTTCGATCCTTTGTTTATTTCCAGGAATGGGATACAGCAGAGGAAGAACTCATGGCAAGACGGTGTTCTGGGGACTAATTGTCCTATCCCTGCTGGTTGGAACTGGACGTATCAGTTTCAAGTGAAGGATCAGATTGGGAGTTTCTTTTACTTCCCTTCCTTGAGTTTTCAGAGAGCTGCTGGAGGTTATGGAGGGATCATTGTGAATAATAGGGAAGTTATTGCCGTGCCATTTGGGTTGCCTGATGGAGATATTAATCTCTTTGTTGGTGACTGGTATACTAAAAGCCACAAGGTTGATGATACTATAATCACATTGTTCTTTTTCCTTATTTTGTTTTTGGTTAATTTTGGTAGCTGATGTGATATCTGCGGGGGAAGCAGGATTTAAGGGAAGATATCGAAGATGGGAAGAATCTACAAGTTCCTGATGGTATCCTCATGAACGGGTTTGGTCCGTACAGATATGATGAAGCACTTGTTCAAGACGGCATTACTTACCAGATAATAAGTGTTGAACCTGGTAAGCTACTGGAATCTGCGTTACTGCTCTGTTTTATTGGCATTTTATGTGTTTTATTGGGAACTTGTAGTCGAGTTAGTGGACTTGGTGGGTGCAAAGCAGAGAACTTAGGGCATTGGCAATTAGGCAACCTTACTAGTCCTGGTTATCATTCTTATTTTTGGTAGAAACTTCGATGATCATTCGCAAGAAAGGTGGTAATTCTTGACCAGGTTATATGTGTGCAAAAACAGCTTCCTTAGCCTTGAGGATTGAGATTGAATATTTGAAGGGTCGGTTTGAATTATTTACATATCCAATTTGTGATTGTCGAATGCCGATGGATTATGTTTGTCAATGGTCTGTGAAGCAGGAGCACTTGAATTTACAGTCAGCACTCTTGCTGAATGGTATCTATTACGAAAAGAAAAATCAAAAGAATCACTCTATTGCCATCACTTTCATCTTTGGTTTTACTTTGTTGGTCAGACTATAATATGTATTGGTATTTACATGCAATTGATTGCATTTTTTCTTCTTCTTATAACAAGAAAATGCTTGAATTGGTTTTAACACCCTCCATTCTAAATTTCTAAATGTCTTAAAAACAGGAAAGACATATCGATTCCGAGTGCACAATGTGGGGATATCAACCAGCTTGAATTTCAGAATACAAAATCATAACTTGCTTCTGGTGGAGACTGAAGGATCATATACAGTTCAGCAGAACTATACAAACATGGATATTCATGTGGGTCAGTCATATTCATTCTTAGTGACCATGGATCAGAATGCGAGCAGTGACTACTACATAGTTGCCAGTCCTCGAGATGTAAACTTATCCACATGGAACAAAGCTTCTGGTGTTGCCATCCTGCATTATTCCAATTCGCAGGGACCTGCTTCAGGTCCTCTCCCTGATCCTCCTAATGCATACGATACGTTTTTCTCAATGAATCAAGCAAGATCCATAAGGTTGTAGTTAAAAAGTAATGATAATTCTTAGCCTCCATTTTCAGCAATTCCATTTTTTGTTTTCCCTTTGTGAGATTCCTTAAATTCTATATATAGTTTTATTACTTCTGAACAAGCTTCACTTCTTCATCTTGACCAAATTCTGTGTGCTGCCATTTTTTGCAGATCAAATGTTTCAGCTGGTGCTGCACGCCCAAATCCACAGGGCTCTTTCAAATACGGAGAGATCACCGTGACAGATGTATATGTAATCACCAATAGACCTGCGGAAATGATAAATGGGAAATGGCTGACAACCCTCAATGGCATCTCGTACTTACAACCTTCAACTCCGTTGAAGCTCGCTCATGAATACAGTGTTCCCGGTGTCTATAAGCTTGATTTCCCGAATAAAATGATGAATCGACCTTCAAAGATGGATACTTCTCTGATAAATGGTACTTTCAAAGGGTTTACTGAGATCATATTCCAGAACAACGATACCACTGTCCAGAGCTATCATATGGATGGATATGCTTTCTTTGTTGTTGGGTGAGCTTTTTTTTGTTGCCGTTGTTGTGTTTTTATCCTGAATTCAATCTGGATTACGAAACACATTCCCTGAGAGTTAACTCTCCTCACTGCAGCATGGATTATGGAGTGTGGACAGAGAATAGCAGAGGCACATACAACAAATGGGATGGGGTTGCTCGTAGCACGATACAGGTACTTCTTTGCTAATCTGGAACAATGCTACAATGATAGTCTACCTATTTCCAAAGAAGTCATTCCAAGTGAGTTTCGATTTAACTTCCCCAAGTCTCTCCATTACAGGTATTTCCAGGAGCTTGGACTGCTGTACTGGTTTACCTAGACAATGCCGGGATATGGAATCTTCGAGCACAGAATCTCGACTCATGGTATCTAGGACAGGAAGTCTATGTAAGTGTAGTAAACCCAGAGGTTGACAAAGGCGAGTATGGTCTTCCGGATAACACCATATACTGTGGCTTACTCTCACCATTGCAAAAGTAAGTTCTTTGACCCGTACACATGCTACCATTAGTTTGTCATAGACAAACTTATCACTATTATTTCACTATTCAGCTCAAATGTCGGATGCTTTTGTTGCTACTTAGTTAACCTTGCTGAACCTCTTACTATGTGTATTCGGCTGGGTATCTGCAGGGATCAAGCTCAAAGATACAAGTTTTCGGCAGCATCATCAGTTTCTAGAGAGAGCAAACGAATTTTGGTTGCACTAATTTTGGTGGCTGTCTGTGGAATGTTTCTAAGCAGGTAGCAGTAGATTGCTTAGCTGAATGGTATGGAACAATTTGGTTATGCAGGTAGATTGAGATACATAACGGGGTGATTTTTGTAATGTAAAATGTTTGCGCTAGAGTTAATCTTTAACATGTATTACTGCTTGGAAACAATTTGGTTTATGTTTGTAAGTTGATTGATTAGTGAGATCTTGCATGATGCTTCTGGTTCTTCCAGGAGGTAATCTCTAAGTGCAAGGTGTGGTAAATAGTTACTCCACAGAAGAAATTTATGAACGTATAAAAAATGGAATTTCGGGGAATTAGATCTTGCCAAACGGTATCGGCCCTCTGAAACTCACTTCCTAGTTCCGAGCTCCTTGCCGTCCATCATCTTTCCTCTCCCTACGGCTGTAATTTTTTTTTTTTTTTTACAATGGATGTGCTTATATTGCAATCTGGAAATCACGGTTACAAGAGGTGGATTACATCAATGGAACAAAAGCAAAATGGACACTCTAATAAAAAGGCAGAACAATCAAAGACAAAAGCAAAGCTAGGGAACCAGCCACAAGAAAGAGCAAGCAAGATTGAACTACACCAATATCAGAGAGCCATCACCAGAGCCAAGGAAGTGAACCCAAGAACCTCACGCTTCCACAACCAACAGATCAGCAACAAAGCAGGGTTTCAACTCTCCCAAAACAGACAAGACCATGGGGCTTGAAAACACAACGCCATAAGCAGCCTCCTGGGGATCGTTCGAGGACGATCCATCACAGTGAATCACAAGATTGCAATTACATGGCGGTGGGCAGGGCTGAAACCGGGATGCTCAGAGCTGAAAAAAGGTCGAGGATGCCGAAGGCAAGATGGACCGAGAAATGGAGAGACAAAGAACTCCAGCCTAGTCTCAACCGAAACCCAGAACAACTGCCAATGACAAACGGAAATGACACCGAAACCCACAACAGTCGAGAAGAGACGAGGCTGAGATGCTCACCAACAGTCGACGACAGGGGAAAACGGCGAATGAGTTCTTCGAACAGAAGAAACCACCAACAAGGAGGAGCCACTCAAGCACCAGATCTTCAAAAGAGACTCTCCCAGCTGCAAAATCCGAACCCAAGCAGAGCAAAGCAAGACCAGAGAGGAAAATCCAAGATCCGAGAAGAAGAGCAGCCGCTTTGAAATCTGAAACGCCACATCGGCAGAGAAACCCTAAACCAGAAGATCCGGGTGAAAAACGTCAAAGACAAAGGCAAGAAACACAAGAACAAGAAGAGCAAAGGAAAGTACAATAAAGAGAGACTGAGCTGCCGCGGGTCACCAAAAGGAGCCGGCGGCAGCCATGGGAAATGTGAAAAAGGAGCATGCTCCTAGAGAGAGGGGAGAGCAAATTTTGAAAAGGAAAGTAAGAGAGAGGGGACTTTTCTTGACTTTTTTACTTTTACGGCTGTAAATATAGAAAAGGCGTTTTTGTAAACTTTGTATAAACTGTAAATACAGAACAGTGTCATCGTTCTGGGTGGTCCTGTCAGTTCTTGTCCTGATTTTAGCAATGAGTTTGTGGCGACGAAAGTTACTAAGACCATTCACATCCATGAAATACCATTTCTATTTCATATGTGGCTCCTACTGCCACCTCAGCAACTTTTTCCATTCCACTACATATCACTTTCATTCTCTCTACATCCATGAAATCCACTATCTATTTCATATGACGGGTCCACCTTACTTTTTAATACACTACACATTTTTATTATTTGTTATTAAAAGTATAATTTCAAGACAAAATGGAAATGAAAAAAATATAGGTGTGACATCTTTATATTTATATAAGCGTACATTAAACTTGTTTTGTATTACACTTTCAAAATCTACAAAATTAATTAATCCAAACTTAATGAAGTTTTTAATCTATTAAGTTTGTTTATCTTAAACAAATGATAATTTGAAAAAAAAAGGAAATGAAAAAATACATCACGTATACAAACATAAAATAGGCCTTCCATTTTTATCATTTGTTATTAAAAGTATAATTTCAAAACAAAATGAAAATGAAAAAAAAAACATCTAATGTGGGATGGAGCCCACTCTCCACCCACTTGCTTTTCCATTTGCTATTTCACTAAGTGGAAGATCCCACTTTCTGAAATAGGCACTACAAGTCTACAACCGTGGATGAGGCAAATGGTATGCCACGTCAGAATGAAATGGGTTCTTTGGAAGCCGTTGCAGGTGCTCTAAGACCATTGAGCTGATGGACTTGGTTGCTAGTATTGATGACCCACAGTGTGAGTTGTTTTTGCTTCGGGCCTGTACTGGTTTTCTAAACTCTACTTTGCTTTACGTACTTGCTCCCCTCGTATTTTTGGGCCGGTCCAGCTATCTTTTGACACAACACTTCGGTCTAGTTTAGAACGTATTGTCACTGCTTCTAGACTCGGTTTTGGTAATTGGCAGTGGCGGCTTGCCACCTTCCCTTTTCATTTGGGCGGCTTAGGGTTTATGCTGCTGGAGATGTCTTGCATTATGCTTTTTTGGCGTCTCGTTTGCAGTCTATGGAGTTGCAAGCTAAACTCCTAAGTCCTTCTGGTATTCTATCTCTTGGCACTGCTTTTGATGACGCCCTCGTATTTGTGGGCCAGCCCAGCTATCTTTTGACACAACACTTCGGTCTAGTTTAGAGCGTATTGTCACTGCTTCTGGACCCGATTTTGGTAATTGGTAGTGGCGGCTTGCCACTTTCCCTTTTCATTTGGGCGGCTTGGGGTTTATGCTGATGGAGATGTCTTGCATTATGCTTTTTTGGCGTCTCGTTTGCAGTCTGCGAAGTTGCAAGCTAAACTCATAAGTCCTTCTGGTATTCTATCTCTTGGCACGACTTTTGATGACGCCCTACGCACCTTTAACGAGTTTAGAGGTTCTGATCTCTTACATGACTCTAGTGGAGTTGTTGTCCCAAAACTTATGAAGAAATTGGCAGATATATATTTCGTGAAGGTTGTTACTACTTCAGGTTCTGTTTTCTCGTTGACTACGCGTCATGTGGCTTTGTGGAAGTCCCAGCAGAGTGCACACTCTTCTGATTGGTTGCGTGTTGTTCTTATTGCTGGGTTGGGTCAGACTATGAATGGGAGAACATATCGTAGTGTGTTTAGCTATCGACTGGGTGTCCCGTTGTTTTCGGTATCTAAGCCCTGTCCTGCTTGTTCCCGTGTCTTTCCTGGTGATGTCTTTGGGGATCATGTTGTGTCCTGTGCTGGTTCTGTGGGCATTAACCATCGGCAAAACCTCGTTCGTGACACCTTATTGGACATTTGTTACAGGTCTGGAAATTCTGCAGGTAGGGAGGTTGATATCGGTTTGGTTGATGGACATGGCGGACCCCTTCATCCTGCGGATTTGCTACTTTATTCCTGGGACAGGGGCGAGATGTGTGTGTAGATTTGACTGGATCTTCACCTCTGACTCAGACTGGTTTTGTGCCTGGCCGAGTTGTTGCTGATACTGCTCAAGGAAAGTGTGCCAAGTACCGAGACTTGTGTATGGCGGCTGGTTACGGTTTCCTGCCCTTTTCTTTTTCTTCGCTGGGAGAGTTGGATACAAATGTCGTGGCTTTGCTCAAGAGGATCCAGAAATTCTCCATGTCTCAGGATGCAGGGGTTCGAGTGGCCGCGTACATTTTTACTAGACTTTGTTTTTCTATAGCTAAGGGAGTGGGGGCCCAGATTGTATCTCGGCTACCCACTATTTTTTTTTTGTAGACAATTGTTTGTTCTGTTTCCACTCATATCGATAATAAAATTGCGCATTAACACAATTGCATGGCGAAGGGTTCTCTGGTGTGATTGGTGGGTTTGATTATCACTAACCAAGGTTGTCAACCTGGGTTGGCCCGTTGACCCGGTCGAACATGTGGAATAATGGGCTAACCGGATTAGCCCGATATTATATATTTTAAGAATTATAAATACACAATATAATAATTTGATATTTGAATGACAAGAATGATTAGAAATACACCATTTTTTTAGACTTTTTTGACTTACATATGAAATTGCATTTGTTGCAAGTTTGCGAATATGCAATTGGTAGCCACATCAATGCAATTGGTTTTGCAATTGCAAACACCTATGTCATATTTTTTGCAATTGAGAATGCAATACCAATGTGGACGCTCTAACACATAAATGACCCCCCTCCCCTCGAAGATAGAATCATGTGTTCCTTCGGGTTTGACTTGGACGTCGCTTACACAACAACTAAGATAGATATGAGGTGGGAGTTGAACATATGGACCATGTCGATGATGTTTGCATGGTGTAACAGATGGTGGAGGACCTCACTGTTGTCGACGTGGAGGAGCTCATCAACCAAGACTATCCCGCAAATGGCGACAAGACTGACAAAGACGACGATGGCTTCAGCGTGGAGGACGATGTCGATTTCGTGCCTCATCTTATTGAGCAGGTTGAAGAGGAGGAAGATGGCACTAAGAATCTCGCCGACGTAACCAATCTCGGTAAGGTTACTGAGTGATGTTACAACTTCCGATGGATTGGTAGTGTTAGTTGAGTGGTACACATAATGCTATCATTCGGGGGGGTGTTGTGGTATTGATAGTAGTACATGTCTAGTGGTAGGCTCATAACGATACAAATTACATTGTGGTATTATTTTGCTAGTGATAGTTTATGCCTAGTGGTAGTAAAAGATTGATACATTAACCTAGTGGTAGTAACTTACTGGTACAAGGTTCCTAGTGGTATTACTCTCCATGATTACGCTCGCAAGTTCCAACCAATCAACCTAGTACATAAACATGTTAGTTAGAACATCTCTATTTGACTAAGACCAAATAGGCAAAAGTTAGATGCATGTTGATCAACGAACCAATCATGACACCATGTTTAGTTACCCATCTTTTGGTGAACGTACGGTACCAAATCGTGTACTCGTCTTCGTACCCATTAGCCTCATACTGAGGTGCCATCAACAATATGCCTCGCTCGATTCTCCCATATACTAATCCAAATTTTGTGCTTTTTTACCCAATTGGTGATACTACCCCGCAAATCCTGGATGTATTTGTGGAGGTTTTTAGCCCCTCTAGTGGTGGTGCAGAAATTGGTTGCTGACACTAATATTGCCAGACACAAATATCTAGAAGGTTCACCTCGATGATGTTAAAGCAAATGAGGGGTACCATGCATGACCAATATTGTTGGTCCTCGGGGTACCGCAATCCGTGCATCATCAACGCTCTGGGAGGATATCGATCCCAATTCATTTATAAAGAAAATGCAATGATGTTTA